TTTTTTAAAAAATATTATTTTAATGACTCAACATCTAAGCTTCTGTCTGTAGTGTTTCCCCCAATTTACAAGTAACAAGAAATAAAGGATATACATGTATGTATATATATATATATATATATATATATATATATATATATATATATATATATATATATATATATATATATATATATATATATATATATATATATATATATATAGTTACTCAATATGAGAACAACAACATACAGGGGGAAAAACAAATGACCTTCAAATATCATCGTAGAGGGCAACTTCCTTTTTAATAATAAAAACCTCAAAAATGAGGGAAAAAACGGTTATTTAAAATAATTAATTATTTTAATAATTCAATCCTCTGCTCAGTTATTTGCTATTTATCTGTGTGATATTAAACCTGTCAACACCTCTATCTAACTTTGTCTGGTGTAGGAGAGCAGTTCATATCACCTAGTCTTTGTTATAAAATAAAAAACAAAAAATGGTGGTCCTCGTTGTGGCATTTAAAGGTCACGAGATTTTTCTTCTCTTGATTATTTCATTCAACGCTTATTAATGTTAATCATGTATCAATTAAATAAGTTTTAATATAAATCCAGATTCGAGATTGACTTCAGACTTATTTACGTTATCATCATCAATATTTATGTTACCAATGCATTTAAAGTGCAAATTATTGTAATTTTAGCCATTCTTTCTAAAAAGTTAACTCACTTTTATCAACAAACACTTTGTTGAATCAAGATTCAAATTAAATTGTTTTAAGTCCTCTTTTTCTTATTTTAAGGTAAAAATTACTCGGCATAATAGAATTTTAAAATTTGCCCTCTTTTGTTATAAATGTCTGCACGGTACGAAGCAAAGGAAAAATCCACAGACAATTAAATGTAAAAAATAAATGTCTATTACTTTTTATGAAAAACGTAAGTCAATATTCGATGAATTCCATTCGGTAACAAGGTCATTGTATCGACCATACGATTTGGAATGTTGACTTTAAACGAGACTGGTGATATCCTTGTTCATCAACTTGTTTGTCGATAGCTTGCCTCGTTTTAGAAGTTGTTCGTACGTAGAACATGCTCTCTTGCGTAACGAATCAACTGGGAGACATAAACTCCATAAATGGTTTATTGCTACATAAATAGTACCTTTGGAAATTCCAACAGATTGTTGGAATTATTGCCAATCTAAAGTTCCCTCGTTCTTTATGAGTTCCATTTTGTTGAAAAGCAGTTGTCTCTAGCTATGCATGATGTCAAAAAGACTGTACTGGTTTTTAATTTATCATGGAGAATGATTGTATAAAGTGTGGAGTTTTTTAGATATCTACATCTGATTAACATCACTTCTCGAATTATTTGTTGTACAGTCCTCCTGAAGTTTTTCCTTCACTGTTAATGTTTTGGCTTTTCCAACTTTAAAGTTCGTAATTCCAACTCTAAAGTTGGCTTTTCCAACTTTATAGCTGGTAATTCCAATTTTAAAATTGATAATTCCAACTTTAAAGTTGGTTTTTCTAACTTTAAAAGTTTGTAATTCAAACTTGGCTTTTCAAACTTTAAAGTTGGCTTTTTCAAATCAAAGTTGGTAATTCCAACTTTATAGTTGGTAATTCCAACTTTGAAGTTGGCTTTTTCCAACTTTAGAGTTGGCTTTTTCCAACTTTAAAGTTTGTAATTCCTACTTAAATCTTGGTTTTTCCAACTTTAAAGTTGGCATTTCCAACTTTAAAGTTGGTAATTCCAACTTTAAAGTTGGCTTTTCCAACTTCAAAGTGAGCTTTTGTCCCAATTTTTTCCTTTATTTGAAATTTTTACCTACTTTATTAATGCAAAATTAATTAATACACTGATATAGATTGATGAGCAATTAACTAGACCTTACCTATGACCTTACAATATAACTTCCAACTTTTAATTCAAAACCCTTATATTTCTTTTGGTCCATATTATATAATAACATTAAAATAATAGAGAATAACTTCATACATCTCCGTACATGACAGGATTTCAACCAAACCTATTTAAGAGATCAGACTCGCATATATTTTGTTGTATATCAGAGAATAAGCTTAAACAAATGAGACCATTATTAGGTGTTAGATATATATAGGATGAATCAACACTATATTACATGGTACAAATACAACAGAACTAAGTTTTTAAATTCTGTATATGAAAACACAATGAACTAATACCTTCTTTCATCATAATTTCATAATTAAATCGTTTCTTTTCATTATAATAACATGTATAAAAGGGCAACACGAGTCCAGCTACAAAGTGTCTGAATAAAACGCATAAAACCGTATACAAAGATGGAAAAGCCAAGATTAAAGTTGGAAAAGCCAAGATAAAAGTTGGAATTACCAACTTTAAAGTTAGAATTACGAACTTTAAAGTTGGAAAGCCAATTTAAAGTTGGAAAAGCCAACTTTAAAAAGTATTACGTGGCACTAATATGCTTCCGTACTCGTAAGATACTTACGTTCAAGTATGTTCATGAAAAAGGCAACACAAAACAAGAATATAAGAAAGGAACAAAAGGAACAAAAAGACCACCAAATAGCCCTCCTTAGCAAAGAGTTCCAATAAGCTGGTCGTAACTCGCTAATCGAAAGTTCTACGAATACGACATGTTTTGTGAAACGCTCGTTTACGTGCACGTCCGACAATCGTTAACGTAATCGTTTTGATTTTGTTAGTGAAGCGGTCGCCAGATCTGTAAACATTTTAGAAGCTTAAAATAGAAACACCCAGTCTATAAGATGTCATATACTTGATCATTTCACCTCTTTAATTTGAGCCAATCAGATAAATGGGGACGATAAAAAAATTGTTTGTTGTTTTAACTAGATTTTATACTTTGCCGGACTGGGAAAACTGAGTTTACTATCGTTGTTACTCTAGCTGACTCAAGTAAACAGCTGTTTGCCATGGCTGCTATTTCACTTTTCTCTTCCTTTTTTTTTTTTTGGGGGGGGGGGTAAATAAAACAAAATTGTGATTTTAAGTAACACACATTGAAATAGGGAGTTCACGAACAGTAATCAAGCTCAAAATTCCATAGAAACACTACAATTTTGGAGCAGTGCAAACTCGGACCTCTAAAACATCAGAGATGGGATCAGGTGAAGGAGTAAGCATCCCCTGTCGACCGGTCACAACCGCTGTATGCTCATTGTCATGATCGGGCAAACGGAAAAATCCATAAACAGTTCATTGTGCAATTAATGGACTAACAATTCGTATGAAAAACGTCAGTCAGCATTTGACTAGATTGTTTGTTAATGATAGATTGTTTTTGCTGACTAGGTCATTGTATCGACCATAGCATTTGCGAAATGCTGACTTTATAGGAGACTTTTGATATCCTTGTTTCAATAGCTTGCCTCGTTTTAGAAAATGTTCCTAAGCAGTGCATGCCCTCGTAACGAATCAACTGGGAGACATAAACTGTATACAGGTCATAGGGGTATATTGCTACATAAGTTGACGATATAAAAGTTGACGTCATCATATTAATCATAAAGATTTGTTGTTAGGTTACCATTGACGTCTTTTCCTAGTAAAATATACAAATATGAAACAGATGTGTCAGACTGTGATTTCTTTCATTTTGAGTTCAGAGGGATATATCGAATCAACGTAGAAATGAAAATGAAAACCCAGTTGTATTGTTGAGGATTTCCAGCAAAATTTAACAACTCCAAAATTTATCAACTCAAACTGGCTGTGTTCATATACAAAAGTAATTAATCTTGAGTTGATTACGTTTAAACTTACTTACATTTTGCATTTAATTGCTACATTTATTTCAGAAAATGTGTAACACAACAGAGGATATTGTTTTTGGAATACGTATTCACTAAATTTCATCAATAAATATAATTTTATGCATTTTTACCATTGTACTTATACAAGAGAAAGAAAAAAAATATTATATGACTTCTTAAAATGGGGATTAAACTACAATTACTTGCAATCAGAAAGATTACTCATGATTACACAGAAAATTGCAATCGATCACAGATAACGACTACTGATTACGATTACCCCATCCCTGTTATTACATTAGGAGGCATTGCTCACGGCGGGTTTCACAGGTCGACAGGGGATCCTTACTCCTCCATGGCACCTTATCCCACCTCTTGGAATATCCGCTGATCCGTGTTTTGTGTCCTGATTTGTATTGTTTGAGATCGGTCTCTGTTCGTTATCTTCTTTGTCATTGAAGAGTCGCATTGTATTGACCTTTTTTCACTTACAGAACTTTTCCTACAAACTGTTCGTAATACATTGAAATTTATTGAATTTTAGCTTCTCAAACTATGTGTGCACTACTTGTTCAAAGTTTCTGTATGTTTTCGATCGAATTGTGTTCCTACCATTCGATACAGAAATGACATATATAACAATTGTAAATATGTAATCAAAGAAGCTCCCTCTCTCTCTTGAACAAAAGTTAATACGCTAGTTTCGAGATTGTTGCTCTCCAACGATAGAGGCGCAAAAAGTATCCCTATCAGCGTGGACGTGGAACAGGTTGTCGATGTACACAAACGTGCATAAATAAATGAACAAAGGCTAGGGCTTTAGAAATTCATTTAACGTTACAGAAAAAATTCTACGTAAGCAGTGCTGATTTTGACGTACTCTGAATATGCTTTACAAAATCTTTCAATGAGGGTATTTGAAAAACAAAACAACTCTTCCTAGATTGTACAAACCTTTTCTAGAAAGTTAGTGGATTCTTTAAAATGATTATATGGGAAAGAGTCGGTGTGTCATTCAGAATGCCGCTGTGCAATGAGCAGATGCGTGTGTATTTATCAGAGAGCCATGTCTCTCCTTCGTCTGATTAAGTCTTAGCCACTCATGATTTCTTTCGTTCTGATTTTTTGGATAGAAAAAAAATGACGTCTTTACTTAAATTTGGTTAATTTGGAGTTGATGAGTGCATTCTATCTAACAGTTACAGTGTATGATAGACCGGTATATCGATGATGTAAAGTATCAATTATAAGTAACTGTTCTACCAGCCGGTTTATGCGGAAACAAAACTCCTTTCCGTAACGAATGATAATCTCGAAACTTGCGTATTCTACACCGACGATATAGTCAAACTATCAAGTTCCACTCGAGATTCGGTAGTTTGCATCTGAAGTTCATTTTTTCTGGAATTACATTGGATGCATGTACATTTATTATATATTTCATGGACGAAGTTAAATGATTCTTTGCGAAAGATTATATAAATCCATGGATCTATGATTGAATTAGTTGTTGCCATTTCTATGCCAAGCAATTCAAAGCTCGGTGTACCTTCGAAAGTTCCAGTAAGATGGCCGAGCATATTTATCTGCAAGAGATAAAAAAAATCTTAGTAGTATTTTCACCCGACCAATAGTCTTTAGTTGGAAATTTAAAAATGTTGTACAATTCTTACCAGTATTGGCAAACTACATATGCTATACAGCAGCACAACCGAGAATAGGAATAGAATAATACGAGTTCCATGCTTGTTTGCAACACTTGTAGAGTGATTTGTCCCCTTCCTTTTGAGGATTACCACCATCAGAATTACATTGGTACCAAAGGTGGTAAGCAGTACAAGAAGTCCCATCAAAACATACAGGTAAGCAAATCCTCGATCTGTTGCATCCTGGGATTCAAAGTTAACGAAACACCAGGAATCCGGATAAAATCGCTTACTGGGTCTTCCCGCCATAAGATGACCAGACGATAGGAAAGCAGACACACCCCAAATACAGAATAATATCACAGTGCTTCGAGCACCTTTTGTCAATGACTGAAATTCATAAGGAAATAAAAGAGCCAAAAATCGTTCCATTGACATTGTGCATACGATCATTGCAGAAGCAATTATTGTAAACATCTGAATGACAGCCATGTAATCACATACCGTTTGAGAATAAGTATACTCGAAATTTGTTGCGTATCTAACGACAGCAAAAGGAACCGCAAACATCACTCCGAAACCATCAGTTATAGCAAGTCCACACACAAAGTGATAAAATGGTCGCCACTGGTGGGTTTTTACTGAGCAACACACTATGACGACGGCGAGACTATTGCCAACAATCCCAAGAAGACACAGTAATACAGGAGGCACAATGGAAGGTGACTCAATGAGACCTGATGATGAATTGGAATGTTGATAATCGAAGACTGAAGTAGACGACATTTCGGTTATTTCTGTATTTGTAAGGGAATCTGAAGGTTGTATTATCCTATACACGATAGATATGAAGGAAGTCTTTAATTTTATGTTTAAGTAAGTAAAAAGCCAATTTCCTGGTTATATGCGTTATCAATGTACAAATAAAGTTATAAAAATTTAAATAATTTCTTTGTAAATTTTTCCGGATTACTTACCTGTGTTACAAAAAACATAATAGGAATATTTACCGTCTCACATTGGACAACCGCTGAAACATTTTTAAAGATTTTAAATGCCTAATTTGTTATCGCTTAGCTTTGTGAACTTACTCTCGAAAAATATGTCTTTGTTTTTCTTATGGCGTTTTACTTAACCATACAGGAGAGAAAGTTGGATTGAAACAAGACAGTTAGCTACACTCATTGTCGCACATATAATACAACAGAGAATAAGTGCAAAACATTGTCCTCTAGAACAAAAAAATAGAAACCAGATCAATCTGAAAAATCAACGAATTTGAACTCAACTCTGGAACCTCAGTAAAATACAAGAAAGGACTTACATTTACAGTTAATCAAATCAATACTTCTGAAACAAAATATATTTGCTATCACTAATTCTACACCTTGAGAACCAAGTTCAATCTTATATGTTTTAAGAATCTCATAGTCCAAAGATACTGACCTTTTAGACATGATCTGAATTACCACCAGAATACGATTCTGGTGATGGGTACTTTAACAACACTTTAAACAACGTTTGAATCATTTTTAGCTCAAACTTCTTTTCTCTGACTGAGAGACAGGAATTCGGATCTGTGGTTATGGATATTGTAAATCATAGGCTTTTTAAATCCCCACGATTTACAGAGGAAAATACAGCTATCACAACCCGTTTGTTCCCTAAATTTCAATATACCAACAAAGGAATTGACGTGGTTAATATAAGTAATACTCTTAATCACAAAAGGTTCCAGTATTGTATTCATATTTCAAATTGAAAGATTACACCCTGTATTTCCTACAAATATACATCGACCATTGCTTCCAAACTTTATAATTACAAGAACACTCTACAGAGCCTGGATATTGAGCATATGAAACATAATCCCCCATCGTGTAATTGTTCTTTTTCACCCTACAACTATAGTCCTACTGGACACGTTATTACTGGTGACGTAAATATAGTTAATAATGCAGACCTTAAATCACTTATTTTAAAAGGGCAAAAAATTTAGGGAACCCCAATCTTTAAACTGGAAGAAGAATTTCATAAATATTATGAATTATGTGGAAGATTACGCCAGACGATGGGCCAGACATGAAAAAGAAGACTTTGACACTTTGTCAGAATGGATTACATGTAAATGTATTTCATGTATCAGATGTATGCTAAAACCCTGCAAACTAGCTTGAAAATACGGATATATATTTAATTGCTGTGGTAAAATTAAGAAATTTATTTCAAAATTAAGGATTATCTCCCTTATGCATAGCTCTGATCCTTCGATGTATTTCGGTCCAGTCTTTGGAACCCCTTTGTTCAGCTATTCAAAGTTATTTCGGATTTCCAACGTTTCGGCATGATCATCACTGAAGAGACATAATTTGTCGAAATGCGCATCTGGTGCATCAAAATTGGTACCGTATATGATTTACATTATGACCCCTGGGTCGAGGTCTCTGCTGGTGGATTCTTAGTCCCGAAGGATCTCTATACCCCAGTATCTAGGTACTTCGGTACTAGCTTGAAAATACGGATATATATTTAATTGCTGTGGAAAATTTAGAAATTCATTTCAAAATTAAGGATTATCTCCCTCATGCATAGCTCTGATCCTTCGACGTATTTGGCTCCAGTCTTTGAATTCCATTTGTTCAGCTCTTCAAAGTTTTTTTAAATGATATATTTCGGATTTTCAACGTTTCGGCATGAGCATCAATATGGAGACATAATTTGCCCAAATGCTCATCTGGTGCATCAAAATTGGTACCGTATATGATTTACATGAAGAGATTGAGGGGCAAAATGAAAACTATCTATCCTTCTGAGTTCAATAATTCAAAAGTGAAAGAAGAATTAGATAGACTACACGATCAGTATGTACTAGTCCCAACTGACAAAACAGGTTACAACATTGTCTTTGTTTGTAAGGCTCATTATTTTAACTGTATTTTAGAAGAACTGGGATTTAATTCTACAAATGGTAATACAACTTGTTGCCATAGATCTCTTTCTAAGGAAGAAATTCTTCAAAATCATACGTCAAGTTTTGAATATTTTTAATATTCCCAACAACCAAAATGAATTACCATATTTATATTGGATTCCGGAACTTCATAAAAACCCTTACAACAAATATACATAACGGCTTACAGTAAATGTTCTACCAAGCCTCTTTTTTACTCCTCACTTAAATATTAACAGCAGTGAAATAGAAACTTCAAGAGTACTGTGCAACAATAAATTCAATAAGTGGTATTAATCAGATGTGGATACTTTGAAATTCCATGAACTTTTTGGAAAATTTGAAATCACAAAATTTTACCAAAATCAATAGCATTAAAACTTACGACTTTTCAACTCTTTATACAACCATTCCCCACGATAAATTGAAGTCCAGCTTTTTCACATCATAGACAGCTGCTTTTTCAATGAAATGAAACTCATAAATTTACTTACCTTGTCATTGGTCATTTGCAAAATTATTTTGTTAAAAACATTCTGATTGTACACACAAGTACTCTGAAGTTGATATTAAAAAGATGCTTGAGTTTCTGATTGACAATACCTATGTGGATTTTTGAGACCAGGCCTTCCAAGAATCTGTTGGAATTTCTATGGATACCAATGGCGCCCCGTTAATAGCAGACTTATATTTGTATTCCTCGGAAGCAGAATTTATTCAAAATCTTATACATGAGAAGAAGAAAATACTTGCTGTGGCCTTCCACTCGACATTTATCGTCGACGTAGTATCAATTAACAATAGCTATTTCTATTCATATGTCGACACTATATATCCCAGTGAGCTTGAAATAAAATATACCACAGAGTCTGACACATCTGTTTCATATTTGGATATTTTACTAGAAAAAGACGTTAATGGCAATCTAACAACAAAACTTTATGATAAATGTAATGACTTTAACTTTTCAATCGTCAACATCCCTTACTTATGCAGCAATATACCCTCATCACCTGCACATGGGGTTTATATCTCCCAGTTGATTCGATACGCAAGAGCATTCTCTACGTACGACCAATTTCTAAAAAGAAGTAAGTTATTGACAAACAAATTGATGAAACAAGAATATTAGCAGTCTCGTTCAAAGTCATCATTTGTAAGTTCTATGATCGATACAATGACATTGTCAGTAAATGCAATCTATCATTCAATCAATGCTGACTGACGTTTTTCATACTAATTGTTAGGCCATTATTTACACACTAAATTGTCGACGGATTTTTTCCGTTTCTCGATCATGACAAGGAGCATACGGCGGATGTGACCGGTCGGCAGGGGATGCTCAATCCTCCATGGCACCTGATCCCACCTTCGATGTTTTAGAGGTCCGTGTTTGCTCTGCTCCTGATTTGTATTGTTTGAATGGACTGTTCGTTATCTCCATATATTTCATTTCAAAGAGAGGGGGTTCTAGACACTTTTAAGGATCATTCATTACCAATCTGTTCGTATTAAGACTGTTAATGTAAAATAAAGTTTTTAATTATATAATCACAAAACTAGTTCAATATTGAAATAATTCATTACACCGTTTTATGATCAGGTTCCAGATTCGATAATCATGCTGCTATTGTAAATCATGCTCTTGCTAAGAAAATGTTTTGTTTTAAACATCACCAAACAGAGCGAAATTACTGTTGGCCACACAGTAAGTAAAGAAGTAAATATATCATAGAATACGTGCAAAATTCATCATCGAATTCTAAAAGATATTTATATTCCAACATTCAATCCATTAAATATACGCTTTATCAATGAAATTGTCACTTACTGAGATTAGAGGGAAACATTGGGATATTTTAGAGGTACTTTATAATAGATAAATCTCTTGGATGCCACTAGAATATGTCATCTATTCTGCTTGGGGATATATGTTTTGGTACAAAAAAAATTGATTATTTGAATATAAGCTGATTATTAGTTGTTTCACAAACAGTTACATAAGCTCCAAATTTCAACCAACCACTAATTTGATACATGTGAATTATTTTAATTGAATTTTCATTCAGGCTTATTTTAAAAAAAAAAGTCACATCCTTCTCAGCCCCGAATGGGATGGGATATTAAGTGTTTCTGATTTTCATATAAATAAAGCAAAATAATATAATGTATCAAGTAATTTACAAAACTGAGATTATCCGTTAAAGAGTGATGCTGATTTGAAGTTTTCCTTTAATCTCGAGACTGGCAAACTTTCTTGCAAACTGTCTGGCAAACAAAAAATTTCCAACACAATCGTGTAAGAAGATAACTTTTAGACTCAGAATTTGTGAGCTTGACGTCTTTTATGACCGAACATTGCCGAGATGTTGGCAGGATGAAGCCTTCCGCTGAAATACGAAGAGCTCGAAATATCGCCATTTACAAAACTTTGGTCATCATAATAATCTGTTTAGTAGATCCACACAGTAGTTTCTCTCAGTCGACGATTTGACCCATAAAAAAAACTTAATTCCAAAAATTGACATTTTGATTTTTAATGAATAATGTGATTAAACAAAGAAAATATAATCATAATAACAAAAGAAATTTTCACAGCACAATGAAGCATGTTTCAACACGCAAGAAAAAATTATTTCAAGTGCAACATTTAAGAATCCGTGGGTTAAATTTTGGCATTTATTGTTCCAAAGCTATTTGAATTAATTTTTTGTTCATCTTTTTTTTTTTTTTTAAAAATCAATCTAGTATGCTATTGTTAGATAATTAGTTTTTCTTATGTTGTTAACAGTCATGTATTTGAACTTGAATAATTTTCTCAATTTTGAGGGGGAAA